ATCTCTCTAAAATGCATACGTTGAAATCAATCAGAAGAAATAATTTGGCATTTTGATATACGCATGGGCAAATAATGGTATTGTTATGGATAGGGATTAACGAATAGATTAGGGACTTCTCTATTAAATTAAATATAAGTTGTTTATTTAATAATTTTTATGCCCTCTGTATTTTGACATGTTCGGGGTGGAGGTCGTGCCAAAGAGCTAATTTTTTTTTATTTTTATACTGAATTATTCTACAATCCATAATTTGTAATGGAAAAGTCCTATATTTTACAATTCAAGTAAAAAGGAAAGAATCGACTATATCTTTTTAATATATAATTAAATTGAAGCTTTTTTCCAGTTTCCAGATTGAAAGTTGCCTATTTCTTACAGTTTCGTTGATTAAACAATTGCAGGTTATGTTACAATAATGCCACAAACGAAGTTTTAGTCGAGTAGTAACAATTTGAAATAAATAGTTATGTACTGTGTATTATCCTTGGCTTCTCCTTCACAATGTAACTGAACATTCATTAAGCTAACTGGCAGCTAACGTTGCTCTCTTAGTTGTCTAGCCATTGTTGAAAATGCCGAATTTTATTAAAATTCGCGGATTCATTAAATCCCTTTTAAAGAGGTTGAATAAATTTTTAAAAATTCATCAGTGAAAAATATGCTACTTAGACTACTGTTAAACGCAGTTACTAGAAAACAATTAAATTTTTTTGTGATGAAAGTAAACAGTGCCTAATAAATATAGTTTTCTTTTTTGTAGAAAAATTCATGTATGTACATGTAATAATCATCAAACATTAATGTGAAATTAATTCAACTGACCCACTACAAAATATGTAATTTAATCGGTGTAAATTGAATTAATGAATTAATTATATACACGTTTGAGAATAACTCAATTATTTGTACATTGCGAAAAGTTTTCTTGTACAAAAGTTACAAGATGTAAATTATAATGTATTTGTATAAAGTGTAGCTTTAATTTTTCGTTTTATTTACGGAATGGGGGTCAATTTTATCTAATTGTAAAAAAACCGTCGGCACATTTTTGAAATTGTCTCTTTAAGTAAAATTACATTCAACGTTCCTTTTATGTAATTCTTTATTTTAGTTGAAAAAAAGAACAAAAACTAATGCCACCAATACTGAACATGAACGTAACACTTATATACTAACTTATTAAACTATCAAATTCATGTATTTAATATTTCTATATCATTGTTATAGTTATAAGACCTGCTTTGACTTGGCTAGCACTGTCATATTCAAAATTAGACGTTGTTTGAAGAGTTAGGATCACACCCAGGGGTACCATTGATTTCTTCCTGAAATAAAATTGTTATTTGGTTTCGGGTTTTGTATTTGCAATTCAGCTTTTCAAAATAATAATACCAAAATGATTGATTACCTTTGACTGTATATCCGTTTTGTTTAAAGTATTCGAATGTAGATGGCGTTCCTTTCGCTCATTCTTCGTGAGTTGTTGAATAACAGATTGTTGCAGTTTGACCATAATCCTTGAATTATTTAAAATACATTCTTGTATATTGCGATCTTTTTCCATAAAACTATTTATATTCAAAAGTGTTTCGTTGATATTCATTAAAACATTTGAAATATACTTTTGAAAATCACTCGCTTCAAATGATGTTGTTTGACTTGTCGGAGTTGTGTTAACAACTGGAGAGCAGGGTATTCCGTGAATATTTTCGGTATCGAAAGTATTACCATTATCGATATTAACATTACTCGCTTGAAGACGACTGATAATGTTAAAGAGTTCTACACAGTTCCAGCTATTTCTGTCTACATGTATGGTTCTTAAGTTGACTAGGACAGACATTAACTGATTAGCGTCCACGGTCCTAATATTATTACGGGTTATATCCAGTACGCTTAAATCATTCAAAGAGTGATATGATATTGCATTCAATTCAACGAGTTCATTATTGGAGACATTAAGAATGCTTAATTGCTTTAATTGGGATAACAACCCATACGGAATATATGTCAATAAATTATTTGATAAAGAAAGAGTACTAAGTGATTTTAAATCTTTAAACAAAGGTACTGGAAGAATTCGTATTTGGTTGTTATTTAAAATTAAAGTGCGTAGTTCCCGAAGATTAAAAAATGTGCTACTGTTTATTGTTTCCAGATTATTGTTATCTAACGACAAATGCATCAAAGAAGGTACATTTTGAAAAGCATCTTCGTGGATTTCATATAACTCATTGTTTGACATATATAAGTTTCTAAGTTGGATAGAACCTTTCAATGATTCATTCCCAATCTTCGAAATTTTGTTTCCTTCTAAATTTAATTCTTTAAGACTATTCAGTCCTAAAAATGGACTTAGACTTGAGGTGTTCACATAGGTTTCATTTGGACAGAAGTGGGAAAATCCTTCAGAAGATGTGTTAAGCTTTTCAGAACCATTATATTGGGAATCTAACGTAATAAGTTGGTTATTAGAAATATTAAGAGAAATTAATGACTCAAGTCCTAACAAAGATTCATAAGAAATGTTTGTAAGTAAATTGTAGGACATGTCAAGGATGTCCGTAGTAGATAAATCTTTGAATATCGTTGGTGGAAGAGTTTTTAACAGATTGTTATTCAACTTAAGTGTTTGAAGACTTGTCAGGTTTCGAAATAAATTGACACTGAGAGTGTTCAGATTGTTCCATGATAAATCAATATTTCTGATGTTATGTAAAGTAGAAAATAGTTCATCTGGTAATACTTCAAATTTATTGTTATTTAACAATAATTCTTTCACTAGTGTTAGACTTTGGAAAGCATCTTTATCAACGACTTTTAAACTATTATTCGATAAGTCTAAGTAGTTAAGGTTGAATAAATGACTTAGTGTTCCAACACCGATATTTGAAATATTGTTATTACTTAACTGTAATCTGCTTAATTCTTTTAATCCTAAAAAACAATTTGCATCTAATCTATTGATGCCACAATAGTCCATATTGAGGTATTGTATGGTTGGAAATTCGTAAAAAGAAAGCGACGGAACATTTTTTATATAACTGTCACTGAATGTAATACCCACTAATACACGATGCATGTAAATATCTCGATCATATTGTAATTCCTTCGATGGAAGACTATTGATTCCGTAACATTTTAAATCAAAAGTAGTCTTTGTAATTATCCCCACATACCCATCAAAATAGCGAGTTGAACTTCTTTCGATTTCTTGGCAGCCGGGTATGCTAGCGTTAATTCGGCATCCCAAAATAAACAGAATGGTAGCAAGTACACCTTTCATCGTGAAGAACTGAAATGAAGAATTGTCATGAGCTGCTTCAAAAACAATTGAAGTTATTAAATGTAGTAAAACTTCCATATTCACGGTTTCATTATTCGCGGGTGAAAAAATTGCAATCCAGTTCCTGTATTGGCGGTTAAAAATTTCATTATTCGCGGATGCAATCGGCAAAGAGAAAAGGATTCGGTGTCATTCGGTCAGTATACCGCTCGTACCTAGTGTGCATTTTTCCGAAAACATAGGTTCCTATTCTAAACATTGTGTTTTAACGCTGCGAGATAAATATCTGATTTTTTATATGGTAGCAGGCAAACGTTCACACTAACTCGATACGTTTTTGGTTTTCAACAATATGGTCATTAAAACCTTTTACAAGTACTTAAAGTTGATGCTTCTTGTAGGACACGTATTTTCAATAGAAATTAAAAAATTAAAAAATGGCCTTCGACAAGCTTTAGAACAAAGCTTTATCTATCTTACTACAAAATTTCAAGCATCTGTTCCAAAAATTAAACTCATAATATCTAGAACCGATAAGCATGTTTTTACTCTACGGCGCATGTACTACTGAATCCCCTTAATGTATCGGCATCTTTTGAGAATGTTCGTGCCGAGGCAGCTTTTATAAAAGATGTAACATCAAATTAACGAAGGAAAAATTGTTGATGCTGTCACGCGCTCGCCGAGAATCGAATCTGAGTCCCTAGGTTTACGCACATTTACTCTAAAACTGAACTACGAAAGCTGATAGCAGCAGTAACGATGACACATACCCAACACGAAGGTCACAGAATGGTCAAACTGATGTAAAATTATTACTAACAATGAAACATTTTGAAGAATTCTGTAGGGTTAATTTCAAAATATTTTTGAAGTGAATTAATTTTTACCATTACAGATAACCTCAAATAAATGAGAAAAACCGGCTGTCACGTCCTCGCCCGGAATCGAACACGGCTTCCTGACTTTAAATTCTTCTAAATGTCTCATTGTTAATTAAGTGCATACCTTGTAGGTATGCGACTAAGACGTTTAGATTTTTAGGTTTGCAAATTACTACTAATTACCTTTCTGATTTGTTATTTCAAATGTAAAATACAAAATAGATTTCCCTTTTGTATATTTAATTCTAAATGCAAAATACGTACTTTCAAAATACTTTTTTGTAGTACTTATTTAATTTTCTACATTTAGTTAAGTATACAATATTATTTAAAAGAAAACCTTGCAGGCATGCTAATTTTTTTAATATTGGAGTATTTCTAGAATAATAGTGGTGTTTGCACTATATCACCAGCTGCGAAAATACACTATGATTCATATTTTTCTGTTTAAAGTGATGGATATATGGTTTTTCTATCTTTATGTTATAGTTTCTTCAGTTTATCAATAAATAATGCTTCCTTATTTTCCTTTGTCACTCGTTTTAATTTGGAAAAGACACTGATGACAAAATCGGGAAAAAAATTTGGAAAAGTAATTACATGCAATTTAAAAACAGATATTTTGTATTTTGTATTTACACTTTAAAAATGCAAGTATTTCAAGTAAATCATATCTGCACGTAATCATAGGGTAAGCGGGTAAGGCACAACAGCAAATACCATCAGTACCTAAATGGATGTACTGTCTGTAACTTGATATTATATCATTTTGTGTTTGATAGAACAATTTCGGTTTGTTCTGTGATTTATCGAATGTAGAGGTAATTCAGAATATCATAGTTCACGACCTTCATTTTTACCTCTTAAAAGTATGGGTCATCACTTAGAGCAACGCCCTTGATTGTACAGCGAGGCGTATAGTGACTTGTCGAGTCACTATTCGTGAAATGTACAATATGAACCATTTATTTGGGTCCGCCCCTCACACATTTCGAAGCCCATGAAATTTTGAAATACCTCTACTACCTATGGAATACTGATAAGAAGCAATAAATGCGAAATCGTGATTCGCATCCGGCAAGTTCGATAAATTGCAGACTAAGAATATAATGTTCTTTGTAATCTGGGTTTGTATATTTATTTCATTGCAAGGCTTTATTATAAATATTTTTATTACAAGTGTTACGAACGGGTGGTTAGTATCGAAAAGTAATTAATATGTACTTACAAATAGAAAAGATAATTAAATTATACATGTTTGACAACAATAATTTAATGTCTGATTAAGTATAATCAAACAAGACTGTACATATTCCACACCGATACATTATTATCAAATTTATAATGCAATTAGGCTTCACTAGATTAAATTACTGTTCTCAAATAGTTAAGGATATGGGATATTCTAGTTTTATGGAAATGCCAATAATAGTTCACAATAGCAAAAAGTGGAGGTGCGTCCGCAACCTGTCTTAGGACTGACCACTTTATGATGATGGTGACTTCACTAATTGTCTAGTATCTAAGGGTTGGAAAATTTCAGTATTGGCAATATTACTCTTCGATTATTACCACTAAAAGTAATTAAAATATCTTGGAGAAAACATCAATTGCTGTTCCAATAACTTGCATTAAAAAACAGCAAGCCTACACGGAGGAAATGAAAAACGAAAATTTACCTTAATATTAAAGCGATATTTACAATTCATCCCACTAGCTCGTTGCTTCGTAAGCGAAAATAATAAAAATTACAATTTGGATTCTAATTTGTAAAAATAAAATCCCAGCAGAAATAAATTTACTAGGTATTTTAGTTGATATTACAAATTTAATTGTAATAATTAAGAAACTTGAAATAATTTTTAAAAAAACGTCAAAATTGAAAGTTACCTAATAAATTCTACTATTTTTACGGCAAACTCGGTAATTTACAATATAAAATTGTAATTTTTGCGTTGTCATAAAAATTTAGTTTTCTCTGTGTAATGTCATGGAGGGCAGCTCGCATGTACAAAACCTCCAAAAAGTGGTTTAATTTTAATTACTATAATGGTTTTTTTTTAAATAATTACCTCTACACTTAAAACTAGATTATAATTAGGTGCAACTATTTGAAATAAATTGAATCAACTTTCAGTTTTACGTACTTATTGTTAGTATCAAGTAAAAAGAAAATTAAATCTGGCAATGGATTCGATAAGTTTATCTAATATTATTTTGTGAAGACTTACCATACAATTGAGTGCACTGTTTTCTTGCGTATTTAGCAATGAACTGAAATTGCAAGCGTCTTATTTAACTCGTTCCTTAGGAAGTTGAAATGAAAATGATAAATAATAATTAACATTCACAAACTGATAAGAAACAACTGGAGAACGTGGTGCACAGGAGCATTCTACATGGTATGATCAAAAGGAATCCAGACTGTTTTCAATATTGATGCATATTAGGTACTAACCAACAGAAAATTGTAATTAATGGTAGAAAAAGCTACTTGGTTAATTGTTGTGTTGTTGTAAAGCTACCAAATCAATTGTCAAAATCGAAAAATTTCTCCAATTAAAATACAAGAATTAAACTGTACAAGAAACATATGGGGACAATTATTATTCACGGATTGCAATTCTTTTTATACTTCTTGAATGACAGGGGCTACAGGAAATATTTAGACGATTGTTAAAGAACTAAATCATTATTCGGTAACGTTAGAAAATACCAAAGAAAATATTGTAATGTCAGTGGGTTTAACAAAATTTACTTCTTAGACTGATAACGACGAAAGCTATTTATTTACACTACTGTTGATATATCACTATTCACTGAGCTACTTATTTCACTGCTATCACTGTCAATTTATTTTTGGATTCACTTCTGCAACGGTCAATTTATTTCTTCTCCTTTCGGCGATCGTCTCTTTTTCTAAATGCTCTTTTGTTTACTTTCTGGAAACATCCGGATAGTTTTTTTTTATTTCTGGGCGATCGTCTCTTTTTTTAAATGCTCTTTTGTTTACTTTCTGGAAACATCCGGATAGTTTTTTTTATTTCAACTGTTTAACTGCTTTCCCAGAACGCAGGTACGACACACACACATTTACAAATACGCCGCAGATGAAGAAAGGCGCCCGCGGCTAGTCGAAGGAAACGAGTCAAATAAAAACATTTGGGCTTAAATGTGATGTGTTTTTAGTAACCTACTGCTACTTTACCTAGGTCTTTTAACGTCCTACATTAACCTGTTAGTTTTCTAAATCGGAAATAAGCTTTTAAAACTTTTGTAATGCACGTATTTAAAAACATGGTAAAATCTCCTCTAAACCTTCTCATTCAGACGTAATCAAGGAAACAGGTTTTAACCATTTCATCATGACAGTACTGAAGATTCCCCTTGCCAAATACAATGAAACGTCTGTCTGGAAAAGAGTTCATCAACCTTAGAAAACAGCCGTAAATAAAAATTACTATCGATTTGAGTCTTTAAGAAATCTTTACGACTAAAAATGCAACAATTTATTATAACATTATTAAATGTCTAAACATTTTGAGAACGTAGTATGTAATGTACAGAGATATTACTTTTACAAAATAGTAATATTACACGAGACAGAACTTTCACAGTTAATCTAACTGTTAGTATTATACCAACAAGTTTATATTATGAAATAACATTTTCTTCGTCAAACAACATAATGATTTTAACAGTCTATATTGTATACTTGATTTATGTAAACAATTTTCAGAAGGGACAATTCACAAACTTTTCCCCTTTATTTATACTGGCTCTTCATCTGCTTTGTTATAAAGAAGGCTGGAATTAATGGGATTGAGTGTGTCAGAAATATAAGTATGCCTTCTGTTGCGAACGTATGTAAAACAAAGAACACTTAGCACAATCACAATTATAACCATCAAATATAAATTCGCATGACTAATCCAGTTTGCGTTACACTGTGACGTCGAAATGGATTTTACATGTTCGAGTTCCAAAAGATTTTGAAGGATTTCCGTATGATTTTTATAGGCAGCGTTCATTTCGTCCATCAGATTGTTATTAATGGACATTTTCTCAACGATTTCCAGTAAAACGTTTATTGAACTGTATTTATTACTGTTCGAAATAGTCGTTTCATTTGGCGATGAAGTAGTGCAATGTATTCCGTGCACATTATTTATAAGGAATGCGCTCCCAGGTACAACATACACTTTATTGATTCTAAATGTTTTGATAATGTTGGACAGAACGTCGCATTTCCACTGGTTGTTATCTAAATTTACGCGCGATAGATTCCTACTCAATGTGGAAAACTCTATCGCATCCAAATTACTTAAACGGTTATAAGATACATCTAATTGTATCAGGCCTACTGAACTGTAAAGTGATGTTGGCTCTATTCGAATGAGTTGATTATGTGAAATCGTGAAGAGCTGCAAAGCCTCTAAACCAGATACTAATCCAACGGGAATATTTGTTAGGAGATTGTGAGATAGATCTAACTTCACCAATTTCTTTAAATCCTTAAACATTCCAAATGGGAGCAACTTCAGATGGTTTGAACTCAGATTGAGTGATGATAATTTTGCAAGTCCAGAAAATATACTATCGTCCACTGAACTCAACTTATTTTGGGACAAATCTATTAACGTAACATTTGGAAGATCAGAAAACGTGTCGTTAGGCAGTACATTAAAATTGTTTTCATTTAAATATATCGTATCCAAATTGCCTAAACCTTTAAAACTGCCTCTGTTGATTATAGTCAATCGAGGGTTCTTTTCTAAATGTAAGTTTTTCAGTTGCGTCAAGCCTAAGAAAGCTCCGAGCTCTATTTCGGTAATATCGCTATTACTAAGGTTCAGTAGTTTTAAATTTGAAAAATCGTGAAATGCAAGGGCAGGAATTTTGCCAATGGTACTGTTATAAAACGTTAAATCAGTTGCTTCATATTGGACAACATCTTTCGACAGTAATTCTTTTGAGTAGAAGCTGAAGTGGTAACAACCTACTGGTTTATATATTGTTTTAATTCTATAAAATTTGCAAACAGGTTCGAAGTTACCATTACAACGAACTAATGTTAACAGCACAATCAAAAGACGGATCATGTGCACACTCCCCATGGCATCTATCAAGGGAAAAAAACATAAATATTAGGTATAAATGTTATATATATATATATATGTATACATATCCTAGGAATTGTATGAAATTCCGATATTGTACTAGGAAATGTATAAAAGTAATG